TACTATGATCCGGATTGTGCACTTGCTGCAATTTGCCACGATTAATGGAGGAGGGTCAACCCGGGTCACTTTCAATTTCCACCCAGAGGGGCGAGAAATGGAAACAACTCATTTGCACAGATTTGAATAATTTGCAAAAAGGAAATATGGGGCGAGGAGAAAGAAAGAGGCGATAAAGGAATCGGGTAGAGGACTCGAGCGCTGTTGCACTTTGCACAATAATAAGCCGCGCTGCCGTCGGCGGCTGGCACAAAGGCAATAATGAATATGATGGAGGATATGAATCCAGATGTGGGAATAAAGCTCGCCTTTCTCGATGCAGTCTCACTTGGGAGCGTCTGCTGCGTCTAGTGAGCTTTTAAACTTATCATAAATGTATTAAGATTGCACCGGGCCATGAAACAGCTGTACACAATTAATCTTCTGCAAATCTTATCTGAAGAATTGCTTTCAGCGAAGTAACATCTGCTGCGAGAGGCGCTTATTCATGGGCGACGCACGCCTGCCACACTTTTATGCGTAGGGCACGATCATTGCCAATGAAGTAAAAATTCATCGTTTTCCCTGTTCGGTAAAAATAACATTCAGCAGCATTAAAACATCATCCATCAACATTGTCTTGGGGGCTCCAAACCCGTCGCAGCCCGACAAATTAAAGAGAATATTCATTTCTGTGTGAACTTGCAGTGTGTGGCTTCACTGAGCTGATACTTTCTGCCTCTGTTTTCATTTTTTTTCTCTCTCTTTGGAGAAGATGAAATTGAAGCAGTGCATTTCAATATCAGCAGCGCTCTGGCGGTTTGGCCTGGTGCAGAAAGTACATAGTGTGACTGCCATCATGGTCTCTCTGTGACCTAACAAAAGCCTTTGTGTTTGGCTGTGATATGGGGAAAAAACACATTATTGCAGTGTTAATATATTTCAAAATGAAATGTTTATCATAGTTACCTTTAAATATAAATACAATTATTTTTTTTAAAGATTCTGGGGTCAGAAGTGTGTGGTCAGTAAGATTTTTCTTTATTTCTTTATTTAGTAAGAAATTTGAAAAGAAAATGTATTCAGCAAGGACACATTAAATTGATTAAAAAAGTCACAGTAAAGGCATTTACAATGTCACAAAAGATGTATATTTCCAAAAATGCTGTTCTTTTGACATTTCTGTTGATTAAAGAATCTTGAAAAAATATATTATGGTTTCCACACAAATGTTAAGCAGCACATCTGTTTTCAACATTGATAATAAGAATAATAAGAAATGTTTCTTGAGCATCAAATCAGCATATGTGACCCTGGACCACAAAACCAGTGATAAGTAGCATGTGTTTATTTGTGGGTCAAAATTATTGATTTTTCTTTTATGCCAAAAATCATTAGGATATACGTAAAGATCATGTTCCATGAAGATATTTTGTAAATTTCCTACCATAAATATGTCAAAACTTAATTTTTGATTAGTAATATGCATTGCTAAGAACTTCATTTAGATAACTTTAAAGGCGATTTTCTCAATATTTAGATTTCTTTGGACCCTCAGATTCCAGATTTCGGCCAAATATTGTCCTATCCTAACAAACCACACACCGATGGAAAGCTTATTTATTCAGCTTTCTCAATTTAAACAAAAAATTACTCTCATGACTGGTTTTGTGGTCCAGGGTCACATATTAGAATGATTTCTGAAGGATGTGACACTGAAGACTGGAGTAATGGCTGCTGAAAATTCAGCTTTGCCATCATAGAAACAAACATGTATTTAAATAGAAAACAGTCATTTTAAAAAGTCTGTTTTTTGCTCTATTTTTAATATGGTGAGCATAAGAGACTTCTTTCAGAAGCATTGAAAAATCTTCCCAAACCCAAACGTTTGAATGGTCGTGTATATTGAAAATTAAAATATATATATTTTAAAACAACAGTGCAGATTTTTTTAATGCCAAGTATATATTTCCATGTTGAAGAGTTGGTTAAAGTTTGAGAATCACTCTTGATTGGTCACATGACGGGTGGGTAATAAACAAACATGTATTTAAATAGAAAACAGTCATTTTAAAAAGTCTGTTTTTTGCTCTATTTTTAATATGGTGAGCATAAGAGACTTCTTTCAGAAGCATTGAAAAATCTTCCCAAACCCAAACGTTTGAATGGTCGTGTATATTGAAAATAAAAATATATATATTTTAAAACAATAGTGCAGATTTTTTTAATGCCAAGTATATATTTCCATGTTGAAGAGTTGTTTAAAGTTTGAGAATCACTCTTGATTGGTCACATGACGGGTGGGTAATCAACCAAACAAGAAGAGGAACTTTTACGCACGCTTTACATCTTTTATCTTCTCAACATTAATTACAATCATGTAATTTCTTAATCCCCAACTGTCAGCACCTCACAGATGGCAATATTATTTACAATACACAATGTTGCTTGGAGCCCGGCCAGATGCTGTCTTAATATAGATTTGATCATCTGTAACTTTGGCAGTTTGTCAATTACTCAATTTTTTTGCCTGTCCCAACTTCCTTTGTAAACCGATACAAAGAGTCAGATTTAGGGAATGAGACAAAGGGTAATCAAAACAGATAAGCATAATCTAGAAAGTTTGAAATAGAGGTTATTAATATCATAACGGTCAGATTCAAAAAGTTATAGTTGAAGAAAACAGTCAGACACTTTTCAATAACTGTAACCTAATCACGAAACTAATTATGGCCATTTCAGTTGATCATCAACCACCCACAACTTCTTCCAAACATCAATTTCCATTGACATTTTAATTTTTTTATACTGAGTAAATAATATTTTCTACCCCAACTGTAAATGTAACCTTTAAACACCACTTTTGCATTTTTAGATAAGTTACTATTATTAATAAGTTATTATTTATGATTATTTGGACTGATGGCTGCTCACATTGTAAGTGATTTCAGGTTTTGTATTTAGCCTCCACAGTATTTTTAAATGCATTCAGAAATATAATCACTTGATAATCTGTAGAAGTTATATATATATCATTCATATTAAAATGCTCAACATCAGTCTTCCCTGTTGACCTCAAAGTGGAAATTAAAGAGAATAGCATCAATAACCAGAAAAAAATCATTAATTTTGTATGCTCTCCGTGATTCAGGATCTGTACCTGCTGAGGCCGTGTCTGCTTTCAAACCGGGTTTATGTTTAAAGCTCAGTGTGTATTGTTCAATGTGACATGGTCAATTCATCATTAGTTTTGAGCGGAGAACGGATGAGTACACTTTCAATTTAGTTCACAGCCTTTCTTCATTCATCATGCCTCCTCATCATCCATCATTTCCTCTCTTTGGTTTGTACAAAAAACACACTTTCATAAGTTTAATGCAATTAATCATGAGGCAGGATAATTTTCTATTAATGGACCACAACCATTATTTCATTATTCATTTGATGAACTTGCACAGTGTGTTTCACGGAGGTGTGATTATAAGCACTGCTCACCAAGCATGAATGTGTGCCACTCCACATCTTTGTTGCTGTTTCTTAAATGCCTGCGCTGCCGCCTGACTGTAGCTTTTGTCTTCATATAACAAGTCCTGATAAATTGGAAAAGTTGCAGGCATAGATGAGAGCTGACCCGAAAAACAAAAGCAATCACAGTAAAGCGTAAAACGCCTGAAACGGTGAACCGCGACAGCTCTCACATTCAAGGTGAAATTCTGCCTCCCTCTCCATAAAAAGAGAAACATGCATATGCACAGAAAGCAACAATTTATGATCTTGTTACTTGAGCTGAATCATTTCAAACCGTCTGGTTCCTTAAAAGTTACTTTGCAATACTGTCTCAGACTGTAAAACTAAACTCAGATTTTAAAAATAGCCAATTTGACCCCTTCCTTTATGTGCAATTAATTTACATCAGTATCTAAAAATCATGCTATTTAGTCTTTTTGAATGTTTTGGCATGCATCTACTTTTAACTAATTTAAGCCTGGTTTAATCAGTTTTATTTTATAGTAGCATTTAGGTACTATTATATTTTTTTATTGATATTTTGAATCAGATTTTAATTTTACATTTGCCATTTTATTCTAATTTCAGTTCAGGTTTTAGTAATTTTGTTATGAGAAATGTTGCTTTGGGAAATAAAAAGTGTTTTATATTTTATTTTATTTCAGTTACCATTTATTTTATTTCAAGTAACTTTTTGTTTTAGTTTTAACTATAATAACCCCCATGTCTATGCCTTAGTTAGGAAACTTGTACACCTTGAATTAAAAGATTCATCTTAAGCAATGATGCTGTTTCAAAATTCCAGCTGATTATAAGAACATAATTATTTTTCAAACTGAATAGTCTTGAATCTTGCCGCAGATCAATCAGCCCTCAGACTCAAAGAAGTTCAGACTCCATTTTAGCTCAATCAAAAAGGGGGAAAAAAATCAATGTGGTCCAATTATAGCCTGTTTCATTAAGGTATGTTAATCAGAATTGCAAATGAGTTGGGCTTATGATTTCTCTTCTTGTATCCTACCAATATACAGTAGACAGTGTTGATGAAATCAACCGCATAATTAACCCACCATTTGAAGAAAGTGTTACCTTCATTTTAAAGTTAATGAAATCTATATATAACTATATTTTTACAAATTTTTTCCTTATATATATATATATCACGTATATATTAGATGCTGCTCTTTGCTGCATTTAAACACTTATGAGACATGTTTTGAAAGCTGGATTCACAGTGTACCATGTTAAAGCATCATGCACATCCTTTGGTTCCAGCTATGGTCCAGGAGAGGACATGTCTAAGGCCACGACAAAAGCCGAGCACACTTCTTTCATTGTATTATTTTTCCTCTCCTCAGACACCCCGCCAGCTCTTTGATTTGGACCGTATATGTTTTCAGTAATCCATTTTTTTCAGTCAGGTCTTGCTGAAAACAAGCAAAGAAGCATCATTTGTGCAATGCACTGCTCACATTAACGAAATAAGACATGTAAACATCAGTAAAAACCTGAGGTAAATGATTTAATTCAAATGCAAAGAATGAGCAGATGCTTTCCAATCATGTGTAGGCTAATGCTTTATCCAGGTTGTATTTGAGCATATTCTAAAACACTAAACTCCTCGTGAGGTGCCGAGCTTTTCGAGAGTCTGCAGAACACTTCTTCCAGTATTCCTCTATTGATTTTTCCCTCAGAGACGTATTGTACCTCAAGATCTCATGCATTAGTGTAGGAGGTCCACTCGAGTCACAGAAAAGATGGTGGACCAATGTATTTAAAAAACATTCGGCTCTAACTAATGGCAGGTCCAAGGCAGAAGCGAGGTCATTTACCCTTCTGATTAGGTAAGCCAGTCAGTTCCAGGCAAACTGTGATTTAAAATGATGTCCAGCTTGAACTACATTCTCCAGGAAAATGATCTAATTTAGTGATTCATTCATATTTACTGAGTGTACTGGCATTACATTTGTATAGATCACATCTGGGTAAAAACAGAAATCGGGAAAATCGAATCAAAATACCGAGACGTGGCCGCCTGTCGCTCGGAGTCTACATTCGAGGCTCTGCCGGGGTCACTTCCATGCTTTTTATGATGTCGCTTTGAAATCTATCCGAATCACATTAAATTGGATATAAAGATGTGCAGACACATACATCACAGTAAATGGTGTGCCAGAGCACTGCTCGTGGAGAATCCCACCTCAACAATCAGGTTATAAAATCGGCTTCAGATCCGATTAATAATTTACAATCCTGTTAGGGGAGAACAAACATTTCTGTTCAAGCAATTTAAGTTGCAGGACTGTTATTAAAGCCCGCCGCTGCCTTTCGCGGGGGCTTGTGGATCGTCTCAGGATGAGACGGAGAGAAAGAGAGAAAGCTAAGCCTGCTCCAGCCCTCTGTGCCAGAGAATAACTATGTTCTATTTCACACTCTATGCTTTCTTTATTAAACTGCCATCGCCGCAAGCACATATTGCTCACCGTCTCCTCTTTGAATTTACTGTGACTTCACCCTCTTCTTTTCCCCGTGCTGGGAAACTTTCTGTCCACTTTCCGCAGCGAAATCTTAGCGCCTAATGACTTTATAATGGCAGACGTTTCAATGGAGCTCTAAGTAAAATGAGCTGGTGCTGCTGCAATCAAGAGCTCAATGGTGCTTTGTGCATCACCCATCACTAATTGACACCAGGGAGACAGATTTGCCTTTTCGCGGAGGGCCGAAAAGGCTTAATGTAATTGTGTATTTACATTCTACGCTGCTTTTGCTCACGTTGTGTACTTTGAGAACAGGAGCGGTAGGCTACTATAATAGGACTGCTAAATATCATGTGAAATTAAACGATTGATGCTTGGAGAGATGAATATTTAATTTCATTATTTTATTAGGAAAGGCAATCACTATAGTGAGCTGTCTGATGTGTCTTTCATTTGGTAACAGTGACCTCTAGTGTCCTCAAAAGGAACAGCCCACTGGACCTGAGAAATACAATATGAACATGCACAAAGTGGATATTTTGTGAGGGAATCTAGAGACAACAACTAACTCCCAGCAACGCTTGAGAACAAAGTGAAAGTCTGAGTGTTTAAGCATGTCTTGTGACTATATATCATCACAATTTTAAGATTTCTGTACATATTTAAAAACAAAGAAGGACAAGTTCAGATCTCAAGAAAACATTTTCAAGTTTAAAAAGATATGGCTGAATCATAAGGAGCAACACCGATGGATGCTGAATGATTGTGTCCAGTCCCTGAGCTAGAAGTGTTTCACACTTTAAGATCAAGTTCATAAATAGTGTGAGATGAAATTTATGCGGGACCAACAGAGGCTTCATGAAAGTCCGAGCCTACGATCATACTGCTGTACATCTTCTGCTGCTCCTCCTTTAATGACTCTTTCACCTTTTCCCTCTTCAGTCCTCCATCCCTGCCAAACAATTATACTTTATGAATATAAAAAAAGTGGGATATACTCATATTAGCCAGGCCAATATTTGGTCATGTCGAGATTATATTGGCCATCATATTTGCCATTCACTAGTAAATATACATTCTATAGGCATTCTACAGACATTTAAAAAAACAATGCATGTTTACAGTCCACATTTAATCATAATGTTTTCTTCAGAGTTGAAAATGACAATCATAGTAATTAGTATAAAAAAATACTAAATAAGTATATATATATATATATATATATGTGTGTGTGTGTGTGTGTCTGTGTGTGTGTGTGTGTGTGTGTGTGTGTGTGTGTGTGTGTGTGTGTGTGTGTGTGTGAGAGAGTGTGTGACCCTGGACCATAAGGGTCAATTTTTCGAAATTGAGATTTATACATAATCTGAAAGCTGAATAAATAAGCTTTCCATTGATGTATGGTGTGTTATGATAGGACAACATTTGGCCGAGATACAACTATTTGAAAATCTGGAATCTGAGGGTGCAAAAAAATCTAAATATTGAGAAAATCGCCTTTAAAGTTGTCCAAATAAAGTCCTTAGCTATGCATATTACTAATCAAAAATTAAGTTTTGATATATTTACAGTAAGAATAAGAAAAATAAGAAAAATAAAATATCTTCATGGAACGTGATCTTTACTTAAAGGCAGAGTAAGTGATTTTTCAAAAACACTTTAGAAAACTGATTCGGTTTCTGTTTCAAAACAAACTTGTAGCCAATCAGCAATAAGGGGCGTGTCTACTCGTGATGTGGAGGAGAGCGCGTTCAGTGCATGGGACGGACATTAGCCGAGCCCAGCGACAGAAAGATAGAGATGGCGAATAAAAAACAAAAGAGGAAAACGTCTGCGGAACGATAAGGCAAGAAGTAGGACCCGTGTAAATATCGGATCAGCTTTCCAGCGCTGGAGAGAACTCAAGGAGCGGAGGCCTGCGATCGGACGCCGAGGTTGCTTTGTTTCTTCTCAATAGGTGAGTAACACCGTGTCTACAACAGCTAAAGTCTGTTTTAACGACCGTTGAAAACCGTTTGAAATGTGTGTCAGCACGTCATAAATAGAACCCGGCAGCAGTTTTCTGTCTGGGATTTGTTGCGCCGCACCGTTCACGTTCACAGAACTAATCGTTGCCTGGGTTGCGTACGTATGTGTGGGGCAGAGCTATCAAAATAGGGGCAAGACCCTTTTGGGGTAGGGGCGTGTTTGTTTTGGTGATTTCAAATATCAACATTGGCTACCAGAAATCACTTACCCTGCCTTTAATGTCCTAATGATTTTTGGCATAAAAGAAAAATCAATAATTTTGACCCATACAATGTATTGTTGGCTATTGCTACAAATATACCCCAGCGATTTAAGACTGGTTTTGTGGTCCAGGGTCAAATATTTGTAAATGTAAAACCATTTTTAAAAACTTTCCCCTTTTTTTCTTTTTTAATACTAATATTTGGTTGAAATATGTTGTGCAGGGTTGTTTGTATTCTTACCAGGACAAATCCACCAGTCCTCCCTGATGTGCTATGGCTGATTTCACTCTGTTAGCAAACTGAACCGCATCCTCTCCATCCTACAAAACACATATTCAGATACACAGATGCAATAAAAAGATAGGAAGCATGGCTCTACCAGTCAAAAGTTTAGATGTGTAAAATCCTCAACAAATCCATTAAAACTAAATAATAATAACAGAAATGGAAGTGGGGAAAAAGTGTTAAACAAATCACACCTATCTTAGATTTAAGCTTCTTTAAAGTAGTTAGTAGTAACCCTATGCTTATACTAGAGCTCTGCAAGCTCTGGTGCATTCTGGGATGATTTTAAACAGGTTTGATTATGGTACCCATGTTTAAATACACAAATAAGTTTATGTTCATGTTTCTACTTAGGCTCCAGCCTCCCTATGACCTTACAAAGGACAAGCAGTTTGGAGAAAGGATAGATTGATGTTTCTGCTTACCTGTCGAGTCATAGGTGGGAGGTACCACACGTTGCACACGATGGCCCAGCTTGTCATCATCCTGAGGAGGTAGCTCACTATGTTGTACTTGGCACTGTTCCAGAAGGCATCTCCAAACTGAGGGTCATACTGAAAGAGAGAAGTACATGAGGTGTGTCCCTTTTAGAGGGTAACCGTAATACTGCTGTAGGAAAATACTATGTTGTTGGTACTGGATACCTTGATTGCTACTGGGTATATAGTTCTACCGATTTCAAAGCTTCCCTTCTTGAACATCATGACTGATGTATTATTAATACAAGTTCCTACAATAGGCACAAAGACAGACCATAGGAAATAGGATAACAAATGACAGAGATTTATTCAAATAAATATGTGTAATATGCATAGAAAATAAATATGTATATTATCATTTATATGATTTATACTATATGGAAGCTTGTTTCCACCACAGAAATAATGTTTTTTTTTAAAAACATATTCTTCTCATAATTACAAGTTTACAGCTTACAATTCTGACTTCTTTTCTCAGAATTGCAAGTTATAAATCTGGAAAACGTATGAGTTTAAACCTTACATCATTAAATCTTTTTTTTTTTTGTCTTGTTTTGTGTCTGCCATGGAATAAAGAATAAAAAAAAGGTAATTACAACTCTCAATTCTAATTTATTATTTAATTTATATCTCACATTTTCTGAGTTTATATTGTGAGATTTTTTTTTCAATGGTAGAAACAAGCTTCCATATTTATATATTTGTTTGTAGTAGATTGATACTGCATAATTACTGCATTACTAGAGACTTGTATAAGGACACAATCACATGAATATATCTTTTACCCTCTGGGAAGATCAGGATTGGCAGCTTAGTTTTATCAGCAATATGGTCTTTTAACCTGTGGAAACAGCAAAATTTAGGATTTATGTCCTAAGCGAGGACATGTTATACTCCACAAGACTGATCAACACACACTTTGTCACCTTTTGGCAACTGCATGGCGATCTTTCATCTCGGATCTCTCAAACCACACATGGGGACAGGACAGCACCATTGACCTCTGGATGACCCCCATGAGGCCTCCATGAACTTGACCTACCTGAGGACAATGAAATTGCGGTAAAGACACCTGAGACCCTCTAAAGACACACAATGTCACACCGCTGATATAGTCAGCATGACTCACCATAGCATAACATCCATCATTCGCCAGAATGACAATGTCAATTGGGGAAGTGTGGTTGGCAACACAGATACCTCCTTTTTTCGGCCGATTCTCTCTGTTATGCATCCCATGAGACATATAAGAAACAATGGTCATTTGACTATATTAGGGAGTGTTAAAAAGAAAGAGGTGTGTGTGCATGGGCCAAGAATGACAATGAGACATAATTATTCTCCTTTCCCAATCTCAGTTTTACCAGAATCAAATGTAAGCCTTCATAATTTCTAGCATTTCTTACTAAAAGTCTCTTATGTTGTTGCTGAATTGCTTGTATCCATTTCAGTCATTCTTCAGCATCTTTTATTCATTTGGCTTGCAAAATACAGTTTGGATTTTTTTGTGCTTTATTTAAAGTGCAAAAAACTCCACATAACTTTTCTAGGCATGTGTTAAATGAATATAAAAATTTAGGGGAATATATATATATATAAATATATATATATATATACCCCGTTGCAGAAAAACAGAGAAGCAGAGGGAAACGGAAGACAGTGAGATCAAAGTGGAAAGACTGGGATCAAAAATGAAGCAGTGACTCACTTATTATGATAGCGGATGGTAGCAGACAGGCCTCTGGCACATATTCTGTAGCATGTAATATGAACCAAATCACTGAGCCAGTTCTTCGCACTGAAAGAGACACAGACCCTTCCCGTAAGGAAATGCTTCTTCAAACTTTAATATGAAATTAAATATCAGCATTCCATCCATATATAACAAACTTCAAAATTCTTATTCAATCAGTCCATAAATGAAATACAAGAGGGTATGATATAATTAATTATGTCATGCAATATTAATTACTTGCTGCTAGGTAGCAATCCAACAATAGTAGTTCCAATCACCAACCAACTCAATCCGATAACAGCCAACGTGATCCTATGACAAAGAGCAATAACTTGATTAAATATATGGGGGAATCACAAAAAAAGACATCCAGGTCACAATAATGAGAAATGGGAGTGGGAAATGTGCTTTAATGTAATAAAAAAACTATTCTAAATGCTGAAATACTATTACATTGTAAAATAAAGTTTTCTATTTTAAAGGGGTCATATGATGCTGCTAAAAATAACATTATTTGGTGTATTTGGTGTAATGAAATGTTTTGATGTGGTTTAAGGTAAAAAAAAACACATTATTTTCCACATACTGTACATTATTGTTTCTCCTCTATGCCCCGCCTTTCTGAAACGCGTCGATTTTTACAAAGCTCATCGGTCTGAAAACGCGAGGTGTGCTGTGATTGGCCAGCTATCCAGTGCGTTGTGATTGGCCGAATTCCTCAAGCGTGTGACGGAAATGTTACGTCCCTTACCATATTGTGATGCCTGCGGCAACCACATGTGATGACCCCGGGCTGGACTCTGCTTCGTCCACATTGAAAGCCAATCCGGCGATCGACAGCGCGAAGTTGAAGTATTTCCTCAGCGACCAGCACGGAGCAGCTCCACGCATGACGAAGCGATATAGTCCTCTTTTGGAAGGCCAAACAAAGTAGTTTCGCTTTCACAACGAAGCACACAGCGCCTTCACGACATAGCGGCGGCGGCAACAACAATACTACAGCGAGAATAAAAGTTACGCCTTCTTTCTTTGCGTGAACATTTGGGCGGCGTTATGCAAATCTTCCCACATAGTGACGTAGGTATGTGGGAGCGTGTTACAACGAGCCGTTTTAGGTAGGCGTGGCTGACTCTTAACTTTTATAAAGAATATCTCTTTGGATTTGAGACTTTAGTCTTTGCAACTTTACAGATCTTCTTTATGCACCAAGAGCTTGTAACACTCCAAAGAGAAAGGAAAAATTGAAATCGCATTATATGACCCCTTTAATATATTTCAAAATGTAATTTATTCCTGTAATGCAAAGTCATTCTAATATGCTGCTTTAGTGTTCAAGAAATTTTTCTTATTATTATGCTGAAAATAGTTTTGCTGCTTAATATTTTGTGGAAACCATGATGCATTATTTTCAGTTTTCTATGATGATTAGTTTAAAAGAATAACATTTGTAAAAAATGTCATCAATTTAATGCATTTAATGCTGTTGATCAATTTAATGCATCGTCGATAAATTAATGTCATCTGATGAATAAAATATATCTCCAGTCTCACCTCAGAGGCAACAAGATACAGTAACGTATAAAAACTCCCAGGCCCCATATGATGGTAAGCCGCACACTGATGTAACGAAAGTTGTTGTTGGTTCGCGTGAGGAGGTTCCAAGAAGCCAGTTCCTCCGATGTGAAGCGCTGAGTCACCTGATCCTCAACAATGTTCTCAATGCCTTTTTTACAGAAATAGAAGGCATCACACATTGTAAAGTCTCCCCCCACCAGATTTTTAGGATGGGATCGTCGCAGCTCTCCGATCTCCTCCTCCATAGAGCCATCATCTTTCTCAATGATCCCTGAGAGTACATTATGAATTTGAAATGAGACCAGACAGAGAAGGAGAAAACTGCACAATGCTTGTGGAGCACCACTATGTCCATCCATTTACATTAATTGATTTGTTTTGGGTTTTTTTTAATCTGGATATAATAATGGAAGCATGATTTCATGTGTGTCCTGAGCTCCGGATCCAAGCAAAAAAACCTTGGAGCCGGGTAAAGTTCATAAATAAGATCAACTGAAATGATGAAATCTGCCACTTGCTGCAATATCAATTACAGTAGACTGACCATGACTGACAGGCATCCGGCCAATAATAAATGCATTTCAAACATTAATTTCTTACTGTATATAAAGAGTTGTGTCAACTAAAACAGAAAGCTTGTGACATTTGTTATCATATAAACTGACTGCCTAGATGCTAGAAAGGAATACATAAATAAAACAACAAAGGCAGCAAACTAAAGCAGACTTTTTAATTATTGTCTAATATGCAGCATCAATAATTCCAAAGAGGAAACTGTGGCTTCACATGACATTATCTTGAGATCGAACACTTGTGTTTTATGCACATGATGTTTTGCACTTACAAATATTTTTGCACTGACAGACATCCTCATTTCACTCACCGTTGGCTGACTGTGATGGCAGTGTTGGCTGTTCCTTCTGTCCTCTTTGGATCCTGAGAGTCGCCCACTGCCACAGATCACAAGTTTATTTTCAGGTAACCTTTAACACAGTGCTTCCTATATTCAGGGATTGCTTAAACTGTCATGTACAAATCAAAGCTCAATACGTCCTGTTCTAAAAACAAAACTCTTGATGATGAAATGTATTTTAGTTTTATGCCTTTTGACCCTCTTTTGCAAGTTTGTCTTGGCATTTTCAACTTCTGTCAGGTCTAGGTAAAGGAAAAACGTTTTCTAAGTTTGCATCGACAATTAATTTATTTGTGATCAGATATGGAAAGCAATTAATAGTCATATATCTTTTAAAATTAGATATGATTTAGCGCCTTTACCTCCAGTGTCTTAACCAGCACCCTGATGTAGATATCTGTGAACCCCAGGGACACACCAAACATGGCAGGTAACACGATAAGCCCCACTACAATGGACAGCCACACCTGGAAGAGCACGAATGCAATTTCCCAAGCACCTTCCATCTCTCTGCTCTCCGTCCTGTCAGTCTGTGGGACGGGGCTCTGGGATCAGGCCATCTGCTCAAGCGGGTGAAGGTAAAAGCCAAAACAGAGGTGGTGTCTGTTTAAAATGTCGTAATCAGTGTGTTAGTACTGCCTCTGGGGAAATTTTTTTATGTGGTTGGTGGCCTGTTTCTGTATTACTGTGCAGCATCTGACCTGTTTATTTTGCTGAGTTCACCTTAAACAAATAATGCTGTAAACATTTTTAAAACACTAAAATAAAAACCTCAGGTGAATTGTTGGCTTATATTATGATTTCACTTCATTTGTGACCCTAGACCACAAAAACAGACATAAGGGTCCATTTTTTGAAATTGAGATTTATACATCATCTGAAAGCTGACTAATTAAGCTTTCCATTGGTGTGTGGGATAGGACAATATTTGGCTGAGATGCAATTATTTTAAAATCTGGAATCTGAGGGTGCAAAAAAATCAAAATATTGTGAAAATCGCCTTTAAAGTTGTCCAAATGAAGTTCTTAGCAATGCTTATTTCTGTCAGGCGCTGTAAACATTTTTAAAACACTAAAATAAAAACCTCAGGTGAATTGTTGGCTTATATTATGATTTTACTTAACAAAAATATTATGTAAAATCAAACAGCTTATAAGAACCTTTATGAATATCTTTGTCATTTGTGACCCTAGACCACAAAAACAGACATAAGGGTCCATTTTTTGAAATTGAGATTTATACATCATCTGAAAGCTGACTAATTAAGCTTTCCATTGGTGTGTGGGATAGGACAATATTTGGCTGAGATGCAATTATTTTAAAATCTGGAATCTGAGGGTGCAAAAAAATCAAAATATTGTGAAAATCGCCTTTAAAGTTGTCCAAATGAAGTTCTTAGCAATGCTTATTTCTGTCAGGACCACTATCGTCAAAGATGATTGACAATTAGCATACAGTTTGGATTGGCGGTATAGTTCTGTTCTGAGCAAGAACTCCCTGCGCATCCATGCAGCCTAGCATGGATGAGAGCAGGGAGAGCAGCGATAACCCCCCCAGGGTAAACAGAACAGAACCAACATAAATGTATTGCAGATATCGTTAAAGTTCAATAATGTTATATACACATTTTAGATTTAGTCTGATTCAAAGGAGAATCAGAAGGCTGAATCCTGACTGACAGAGGAGGAGTTGGGGATGGAGGAGGGTAATTAGCTATTGAGCAATGCGAAAACTGCTGATACTACTGCGGAACCTTATATATGAATACTTAGGTGTCGTATTCCCATAGCTTGATAGGGATCAGCTGATGCGAGCTTGACTAACGTGACCTGCCAGAACTAACGCTACGCTTGATTGCTAATCAAAAATTAAGTTTTGATACATATATGGTAGGAAATCTACAAAATATTGTAATGGAACGTGATGTTTACTTAATATCTTAATGATTTTTGGCATAAAAGAAAAATCGATCATTTTGACCCATACAGTGTATTGTTGGCTATTGCTACAAATATACCCGTGCGACTTATGACTGGTTTTATGCTCCAGGGTCACATTTTATTTCATATAATTTTTATAGTGAGAGCTAATAGATCTATAAGTTTATTATTCTGTTGGTAGCTGCAGTAATGTTATTTTTTATTTGTTATGACATTTGTACATAGTTGCAGTAACTATGGTATGCCTATTTTATTTATTTTTATGATATTTGTGTCTAATATTTGTAGTAACTATGGCATTTTTAAATGATATTTGTGGCTAATAGATGTATAAACTGTGGGATTTATATTTTATTTATTTTACATGGCATTTGTGGATAGCTGTAGTAATTATTATGGTATTTTATTATATGATATGATTTTGTGGCTAATAGCTGTAGTAACGTTAGCTTATTTCGGCGAAAACTGTAAGGTCTCCGTAATGCATTAGCTTCCCTAAATAGAAGACACTCTTTCTAAAAGCTTATCAGAAATGCATATTATTTAAATACAATTCTACTAGATGATTTTAGAAAACTATAATGGCACCTATTAATAATTATCGAAAACTTTTACATTTCTTAAGTTGTCCGTCTCCTTTCCGTTATCAGAAAGCGCTGTGCCATAACAACAGGATCACATGAGCGGTAGAACAACAGCGAGCTAACGAGGATTACGATTCAATACAGCACCTTCACAATACCTCGATTTCATTCATTTCTTCATCCCAGACGTCTGAAGATGATGTTACTTATACTGCATGTCCCAAATCCCGAGACTATGTCCGAAGTTTTCCTGCGACTGTTACAAAGTTCGGAAACATATGGTTATAAATGACACACTAGCGCCACCTTGCGTCACGTTAGGAAATGTGTTATCACAATCGTGTTGTTTACAACCCTATTAAACGCGCTATATCTGATGAAAATGTATCGCTAAGGCTGAATCCTGACTGACAGAGGAGGAGTTGGGGATGGAGGAGGGTAATTAGCTATTGAGCAATGCGAAAACTGCTGATACTACTGCGGAACCTTATATATGAATACTTAGGTGTCGTATTCCCATAGCTTGATAGGGATCAGCTGATGCGAGCTTGACTAACGTGACCTGCCAGAACTAACGCTACGCTTGATTGCTAATCAAAAATTAAGTTTTGATACATATATGGTAGGAAATCTACAAAATATTGTAATGGAACGTGATGTTTACTTAATATCTTAATGATTTTTGGCATAAAAGAAAAATCGATCATTTTGACCCATACAGTGTATTGTTGGCTATTGCTACAAATATACCCGTGCGACTTATGACTGGTTTTATGCTCCAGGGTCACATTTTATTTCATATAATTTTTATAGTGAGAGCTAATAGATCTATAAGTTTATTATTCTGTTGGTAGCTGCAGTAATGTTATTTTTTATTTGTTATGACATTTGTACATAGTTGCAGTAACTATGGTATGCCTATTTTATTTATTTTTATGATATTTGTGTCTAATATTTGTAGTAACTATGGCATTTTTAAATGATATTTGTGGCTAATAGATGTATAAACTGTGGGATTTATATTTTATTTATTTTATATGGCATTTGTGGATAGCTGTAGTAATTATTATGGTATTTTATTATATGATATGATTTTGTGGCTAATAGCTGTAGTAACGTTAGCTTATTTCGGCGAAAACTGTAAGGTCTCCGTAATGCATTAGCTTCCCTAAATAGAAGACACTCTTTCTAAAAGCTTATCAGAAATGCATATTATTTAAATACAATTCTACTAGATGATTTTAGAAAACTATAATGGCACCTATTAATAATTATCGAAAACTTTTACATTTCTTAAGTTGTCCGTCTCCTTTCCGTTATCAGAAAGCGCTGTGCCATAACAACAGGATCACATGAGCGGTAGAACAACAGCGAGCTAACGAGGATTACGATTCAATACAGCACCTTCACAATACCTCGATTTCATTCATTTCTTCATCCCAGACGTCTGAAGATGATGTTACTTATACTGCATGTCCCAAATCCCGAGACTATGTCCGAAGTTTTCCTGCGACTGTTACAAAGTTCGGAAACATATGGTTATAAATGACACACTAGCGCCACCTTGCGTCACGTTAGGAAATGTGTTATCACAATCGTGTTGTTTACAACCCTATTAAACGCGCTATATCTGATGAAAATGTATCGCTAAACGATACGTTAATCTATAACGAATAAAATGTTTTAAAAACATAAAACATATTGTTTTTATTAAAATATTCATTCAAATTATTACTCGCACAGTGTTTCTCCAAATCATCCTTCTTGCTTACTGGGAAGTAGCCTCTGACAGGGAGAAATTTTGCACGCATGAAATCCCAGCGATGCAATGTTTGTCCAAAATTCCCCTCAAAACATAAATATGCTTTAAAACCATAGACTGTATGTTTAAAACCACAAGCAGTTTCACAAAAACTAATGAAAATGCTGGTTTCTAATGTAACGTTACATTACTCCGCACCACATGGTGGCAGCACAAGTTAGTGTTTGGCTGTAAACTGCCGTCTCTTATGCAGAGAATAACTAAACGAAACCTACGAGCGCAGAAAGTTTATACATGTAGCCTGCTAACTTATAACTATGAGGTTGCGGTAGTTAACACACGGTTTAGTCCAAAAGCATGGAGGAATTCAACACAACTGTTCGTATATCGGGTTTCGCGTTGAGTTCACTGATGTTTCATCATTTGAACAGTGATGCGGATGTGGTAAGTGGCAAACGACCCCAGTGTGACCGTATGATCCTTGGTTATGAATTAAATAGCAAGTCAAAGATGTCTGCTAAGCATTTCCTCAGTCCCATAACTTCTGTTTATATTTGTACTATGTTTAAAGGAAGGTCTTATTCTTGGAGAGAGTGTAGGAGAGGAGAACTGCAGGATCACCGACTCACAAATTGATCACATACAGTTCGAGCACACTATAAGTAAATCGACTCTAATTATTTAATATTTTCATATAATAGTTGCAACACGAAACCCAAAAACACTGGCGTCACGACGTTTTCTCTTTTTCAGATATTCAGAAACACATCCCTTGTCATAAACTCCATAGGTAAGTCAGTTGCTCAGTATTTATTTCTTTTTCTCCATAAATCTCTTTTTATAATAAGCAGTGGTTCTCAACTGGTTTTGCTTTATGGCCTGGATTTTACATTTGGACATCAAGTGGTGAACCAATATGGTACAAAATTGTTTATCATATAAAAACGAACAAATATGTACTGAAAATCAAATATTGCGCCAAAAAGACACATTATACATTGTTTGACTATTCACATTTAGCACATTTATGGATTATATTTTTCCCAGAGTGGCCCATTTTTGGACCACAACTCGCCAGTTGAAAACCACTGATAATAGAGTTTTTAAAAACATTGAAATTTGATTTACCAATGCCTCAATCCTCTTGAAAGCTTCTACAGTAATGTTGGGGATGTCAGTGAGGAGAAAATAAGACCAATTTTGTCTGATTACCAAGAGGTATTTCCTACATTTTAAAACATTTGCTCATTTTCTACCGCTGAATATATCCAAAATGTGATTTGCATTAACAAATTGTGTTTTTCTTATTATACATTTACTTGTCAAGGAGAATGTGATTGGTTGGTACAGACAACGAAGAAACACCAGACAGCAAATGACTTTCATGGAACAAGTAGTTCATCAGAATATGAGAAAGATTTTGTCCAATCGGGAACTTGTTTTCATGCTGCTCACACCGTCTCAGGCAACAGCATCAGGCTCCACCCATCGACTTGAGTTCTCAGCTTTCATATGGCACAGCAGGTGAGATCTGAGGATTTTACACTCAACTCTGGCACACAACCATTCAGTAGACTTTTTGAAGCTTAGAAAACTATTTATTTTCTCCATGCAGCCAGTACATCAACATCCCCATCTTTGTGAGCAACCTGGGAAACCTTGAACAACAGGACTACTGGAGAGTGTCAGGCACATGTCCATCTTTAGGACAGAGTGAAGCTGTTAAGCAGCACAGGTACATTCAGAATGTTATTTGCAGTTAAAGGAATAGTTCAATCAAAAATGTATATTTGCTGGAAATGTAAATGTATTTGCTTATGTAGATGAATTAGTTTCTTCATTGGAACAGATTTGGAGAAATTTAGCATTATGTCACTTGCTCACCAATGGATCCTCTGCAGTCAATGGGTGCCGTCAGAATAAGAGTAATCCACACAACCCCAGTCTGTCAATAAACATCTTGTTTGTTACAAACATGCAGCTTTTCGCTGTACAGCTCCTTCAGTAAGGTGTTTTTAACTGGTTCCACTTCTAGACTAAATAAAATGAGTCTATCCCCCGGTTTCACAGACCAGGTTTAAGCCTAGTCCCCGACTAAAATGTAAGTCTGAGCTTTTTCAACTGAAATAAACTTGCACTGATTGATCTTGAAATATGTCAGTGCCTTTGTTTTGTCTCAAGATGTTTTTTTCTAAGGCATGGTTATAAAAATTACTTTAAAATCCTAATTGAACTATGGCCTAGTCTTGGCTTAAGCTAAGCCCCGTCTGTGAAACTGTGCCTAAAATTCATAAAAACGCTTTCTCTAGTAAAAAAAAAAAAAAAGCCCATACCCTGTTGTCTTTCACATCAAAATACACAGACATGTTTGTTTAGAACTGTTTTCACATGTAAATGTTGCTAGATCTGTGCATATTTCTCTCCTGATTCAGACTAGATGATTTTTTTTTCTCTAGTGAAAGCAATATTATGAAAAAAAACATGTATTTCTCTAGTGAAAGCAATATTATGAATAGATGATTTTAGCCGGAAGCTAAAACATCTTAATGGTGGATTTGTTTCTTACAAATACGGAGTTTTTTACTTTACATATTAACTAATGGACTGGAGTGGTGTGGATTACTTGTGGTTTATTGTGATGTTTTCATCAGCAGTTTGAACGCTCATTCTGACGGCACCCATTCACTGCAAAGGATCTATTGGTAAGCAAATGATGTAATCCTAAATTTTTCCAAATCTGTTCTGATGAAGAAAAAACTCATATGTCTTGGATGGCCTAAGGGTGAGTACATTTTCATTTTTGGGTGAACGATTATCTTTCAAGTCTTTTTGGTTTTGCTTGCCAAGGCAAACTTTTTTTTGCCTGGTAGATGGTAAAAATCCAAAATAATCCCATAGATTTACATTTAAGGAAGGGTCAGAGCCAAATCTAGAGATCGGACTTTCAAAGAGGTCTGGAGGATCATGACATTAACAGCTATCCTTGAAACCACATAGTACTGCAGTTTAGGAAACAACTGCGTAGTATTTTCCTCACAAAATATACGAATCTAGCTTTTTCTTTAGAAGTGATAAATAATTTTTTTCTTGCCTCTCAGGACACAATTCTTCTGCTCAGGGGATGAGTTAAAAGAGGTCAGAAATATCAGCAGCATGAATGATGACCTATTAGGAGAAATGCAGGTTAGTAACTTCATTGCAAAATTGTATCCGGTGTGAAAGGAGTATATGTAAATCATATGGACAATTCATATGCGTCTTTTGTTATACAGAAAGTGTGTAAGGAAGTGGAGAAGAGTGAAAGAGCAGTAGAGAAGCTTCAAGAAGACCTCAAAGAGCTCAAGGAGGCAATCAAGGAACACTCAGAGAAAAATGAAAGTAAGATCTATTATGTCAAGTGCTCTTTATATGGGTGCCTCCAAGGCCAATTACACACTACGAACTGACACTTGTCTGCAGATTTCAAACAAAAAGGCTTCAGTCTTGTAGTGTGCTTGCATACAAATTGCTGTAAGGTAGCAGTAGTAACCCTTATTTTGTATTTAGTTGATAAATTATATT